ACTAGTCACAAATTGAGATTTTACCACAAAATGTCTCAAATAGAGACTGGTTACAGAATCCCACTATAAATATGGCGATAACAAATATTAAATTTTCTACAACATAGTCAAAAAACGTAATTACCAATAAAAATAAAAATATATGTTGACTTTGTTTCATAATATTTATGAAATTTATATAAAATTGATTTATATTGAACCTTTTCGTGTTTAAAAAATAAAAAAAGAAAACGACAACCTGGTCTCTATTCAGTATATTCAAAATGGTAAATAACAGTTCTTTTTAGTTTTGTTACCTGCTAACTATTAGGTCATTGAGACAATATTTGCAGACTAACGGTAGAGACTGTTTAGTGAATAGTAACTAGTCACAAGTTGAGACTTTACCTTATTCCACTATTGCTTACCGAATTTCATTATAAGATAAATAGATCAGGATTACCCCGCGACCTAAAGTTTGTTGTGTCCTCTCCTAAGACACAACGACCCACTTTGCCCAGCATATTGATAAATTTCAATATACTTCTAGGTGTTAATGAGGCGACATGCTCGCTATTTAGAAGCATGGATCTATGGGACTCTAGCCTGCGTCTGCAGATTGCTATGCAATCAATTAGAAAGTGTTCTGAAGTTTCAGGCTACTTGTCGCAGCACCTGCAATTGCACAAGAAGCTATGCCCATGCTTTATATGTCCTTCTTGCGCTTAGGTGATCAGTGTAGAATCCGAGTTATAGCCTCAGTTTGTCCCTGGGGAGTTGATATTTAAACAACAGGATGGATGACCAATATATTTTTCCATATTACTGATCTCTACCTCTCTGTCCTCAAGGGTTAGGTTCCTGAGGGCGGGCAGGAACCTCCCAAACAAAACAATGGACATCTTCGAGGGGTTGATTTCCCACGACAGTCGGGTCTACGAAAACCGGAACGGACGCGGATTTTTATCCGGTCAAGGACTGTCAACTCGGCAGAATTCTGCCTTTACAACAACAACRGGGGTTGATATTCAGTTAAACCGCACTGCACAATCTCTTAGCAATTAGGTCTTAGCAAACCGTTCCCACGACAGTCGGATCTACGGAAACCGGAACGGACCCGGATTTTTATCCGGCCAAGGACTGTCAACTCGGCAGAACTCTGCCGTTACAACAACAACAACAACAACATCTCTTAGCAATGTTTACACCCTTTGTTGTTAAAAGCATCTTCGATGTCTAGTAAGGTGCATAATATTACTTCCCCTCCTTCTAGCGAACTCCGTATCCTCGAAATTAGCAGGTTCAGAGCAGTATTATTTGATCTGACCGCTCCGTAAGCATCGTGCTTTGCATGCAGGGATGCAATTGTAATATTAACCGGTAGTTCTGGAAACTTCCATCTGCAAATGTTGTGGGCCTTTCATATTTTATTTTAGAAAATTCTAAAAATATACTAATATACCTTGAAATCTACATAAAAGCAAATAAATATATTTTTAATGCTAATGCTCTTAATATTTCATTCTTTTAATATAAAATGTTCAAATGCTTTCTTATAATAATTGCTAATTTATCAGATAATATTTAAATTAAATTCTAGATTTTTCTTAAATCCAACACAAAAACGCTACCATCCGACGCGCTGGCACCCACTTTAGTGCCCTTGGAATTCCAACAGACCTCAAAAATACCACCTGTGCCTTTGTAACTGTGTACTAACTGTCCCGACTGAGTACTCCAAATATGTACACATTTATCGAAACTTCCTGACGCTAAATACTTTCCGTCTGGACTAAATGCTACCGAATAGACMGGCTCTGTATGTTTCGTAAGAGTATGAATGCATGTACCACGCTCAACATCCCATAGACGTACGGTGGAGTCAAATGAMGCGGAAGCAAGTATTAGATTCGTGTTAGGATTTTGTGTTCCTGGTCCAGTGGGAGACCATTTGATTGTATAGATTTCCTTAGAATGAGCTTGTAAGTCATGACAGCATTTGTCTTGCTTCATACTCCAAATTTTCAGTGTCATATCGTCCGAGCAGGAGGCAAGCAATTGACCCTGTGGACACCACTTTATAGCGTTCACCTCATTAGTATGACCTTTAAATGTTTTAATTGGCATATCTGAGCCAAGGCGACACACATGGATACGTTGATCAGTACTACACGAAGCGAATGATACATTTGTTTGCCAATCGACATCGAGTGCGGGTGCATTGTGGAAAGAAAATTGTTGGTTACATTGTCCCGTAGAAGCGTCCCAGATTATAGTAGTTTTATCAACACCAGCCGAGAGTATATAATTGCCCCGTTTATTCCATTTTAATGCAAATATTGGACCTTTATGTTGACCGAGAGTTGATGCTAAGCGACCATCAGTTTTCCATATGCGTGCGTACCCATCATAACTGCCAGTAGCTAGCAAGGTGCCATCGCACTATAAAAACGTAAATTTTTAAATRTGTACATTTTTATTTGCAAACAATAYAATATTTAAGCATTYACGTGTACCTACATTCCAATCTAATGATGTAACATCTTTGTTGCTTGGAACTTCTGCACCTCCCTTTTGAATGCAATGGCGTAAAACTAATTGGTTAGGGCTACTTGTTGCATCGGACATATCCCATATGCGTGCAGTGCTATCACCAGATCCACTTGCAAGAAGATCTCTGCTGGGATTCCAGGCACATATGAATACTTCGCTCTCATGTCCACGTAAAACTGTTGCTTTAGAAGCAGGTATCTCAATACCTTGATCGATATCCATTGGTTCTGTTCCTGTTGTTGAAGCAGTATTACTCAGTTGTATCTGGGTCAAAATATCAGAGCTGCCTGGAGCTGGATTATTAATAGCAGCACTGCCGCTTGAAGTAGTAGTAGTACCGGCTCCCGAAATATTTGTTCCAGTAGTTGAAGCGGTTACTACTGAATTTGTGGTTGTTGTTGGTTCATTGACATTAGCGTTAGTGCCTGAGGTAATGCCGTTATTGACATTTGTATTTGTTGTAAGATCATTTGTGGCTAAAGAACTGCCAGATGCTGTTTCCGAGGGGTTGGCTTTTTTATTTCCAGTTGAAGATGCGTCACTAGTTGTCCCAGCTGTAGTATTAGCAGTCCCGACGGATGGTGCGACAGACGTTGTACTATTTGCAGCTGAATTAGTATTACTATCAGTTTCATTAGAATCAACAGATGCGGATGGGGCTCCTCCCGAGTTTTGCTCATTGTTTGTCGAAGCTCCTGGAGCATTACCCTCGGACTTTACTTCCGATTTTACAACACCACCTGTTGTAGTTGACGGTGCAGCTGCGCTACTGCTGTCCGCACTAGCTTTCCCAGGTTCTGATTTTACAGCTGCTGGTTTTGGTGGCTTTACTTCGGGCATGACGGCATCAATTAAACTTAACCCTTCAACTGAACGTCCAGCTTCACCATCTTCTCCAACGCTCCATTCAACTTCTGTATACATTAGGCCTTTCTGAAGAATAGTGAGAAGAGCAGCCGGTGGTACCAAAGCGCCATTTATGTTGCTTTGTGAAATATGAGATTCCACACCAAACACAAAAGCAGAATGTACAAAACCTATTTAATGTTGACATGTTTAAAAATTTTGTGATATTCAGTGAAAAATATAAGAGGTTTACCGGATTCTTGAAGATATCTATAAACCAAAAAGTTTACTTCGTCGCTGGAAAAACTCATTTTTGCTGTTCAATGTTCAGACTACACTTTTTCCAATATCTTTTTACTAATATTCTCCTCGAAACTTTTTCTTCCGTTTATAATACGTTATTACCATGTAAAGTTTAGAGATATTTATTTAGGTTTATGCATAATTAAAAATATACATAAGCAAAAATTAATCAATCCTGCGAATTTAACTTATTGCATTTTTGACATGTTATTAAGATTTTATTTTACGTCATTAAGTTAGCTGTGAACTTCAAATAATTGATTTCACGTTATGGCAACCTTCTGCATTTAGCGTAATTATATGTTACACTAATAAATAAATCAAGATTTATTTAATATTATCCAACTTGTGATATATTTCTATTTTTACAATTAATTATTTATGTTTGTGTTTTATAACTTTATTTAAATTTTTTACATACAACATACAAAAGTTGGGCATCACTTCGAGATGTAGGTGCCGGTCTATTGTGATTCCTATATAGAGCTGCAAATATTTGTAGAAGGGCAGCACTGCTGAGGAAAAGCGAAGTCAGAGAAAACTGTGTAAAAAGTCAACGTAAGGAAAAATCAATAAAAATTTTCATTTTCAGTAGTGCTGTATTGTATTGTATGCAGACATTTTGTTAAATAAGTTAGCTAAACATTTAATGGCGTTTAAAGTGAATTAATTAAACAATTGTACATGAATACAGAAGCTATAAGAAAAGTGGTTTTGCTACGCCCATTTTGACCGAATACACAAGAGTCGCAGAAAGAAATTGAAATTATTGTTAAAGAAGCCGTCGTGTCGAAGTCGCGATCGGTGTCTCGTCTTTCGATGCTGCAATCTTCTCTAAATTTTAATTCAAGACCAATTTGTTAAAATTGGGGTCGCCAATTGGAAAAAATTTATCAAAAGTAAGCTGTAGAAATTAATTGAAAGTATACATCCGATAAACATGGTTTTATTACAACTATTTCGTCTTCGTCATCGCTTAATGCAGTTAGGGGCGTTTAGCTAAAAGTCGATAGGGTCGTATTAGTAAAACCTAGTTGATCGCTTTACTAATACTTGCTATATAAAAAAAAATATTATGCCATTAATTAAAAATTTAAGCTATCAGAAAAATCGATATCTCTCTTAAAAAGCCGGTTAATTATCATTTTGCTGAATTTGAAAGATAATGATTCAACTTGCATTCTTTTGCTTGCAGATGTATATGCATACAAGTATGGCTGATAGAAAGGTATTAAACTGTGCCAACGTCACATTGCATTTATTGTTTATATAGATATTTCAATGAAAATTACAATTAGGAAATAATGGTTGATAGATGTATCAATTGTATTTTTTTTTTTTTAATATTTATACGAAATTCCAAATCAATGAGTACATTTTGTATATAACAAACATATTTTCAAAATTATTTTTGTAACTATCACATAATTATTTATGTGAAAAGTTTTTTTTTTGTACAAAAACTCAAGTACCGATAATTTTTCTATTCCTTAGAAATTTTATTTTATGCTATAATCTTTCTCAATGATAGGCGGTTATAATTTAATTGCTTTAGACCACGACTGAGTACTTAGAATAAATAACATTATTTTTTTTTAATAAAATGCTAATGTTATATTTTAGTTGAGAAAATTATTTAAGTGCATAATCATTTGTGTTGTCGTTTTAACATTTGCTGTATTGAATTAGCTTTGACGAAAACATTTAGTGCTAGAAAGATATGTACGTATGTACATATATACTACATATGTAAAGACAAATTTAAATAAAGCGAAGTTGAACTGTTTTATATATATTTGGCAAGTATGCAATTCTTCAATCATTTTTTACTTTATTTATTTATAAATTATATATACATATGTTGGTGATTATAGGGTCAATATCAGACTGAGTCGCCCGCTTGTGTAAATGTATACATTATATATATTTATTTGCATAATAATATTTTCGTTTAATATTTAACGTAATGAATTATGCTATAATAAATACACCACATAATATTTACTTATCTTGGTTTTTGTTCTACTTTTTCTCTAAAGATACCGATTTAACGCACAGCGAATCACTGCTTTTGTTAATCAGCCAATCGCAAGTAACGGGTGCAACTAAAGTCAAACAAAAACAGCTCGGCGGGCTTCTTATCTGCCTTCATTGCGACAGCCTCTGTGTTTATTAACGAGCTCATCGAAGCCAATATTCTCAGGCGGACTACGTAAGTTTCGCCTTTTGGGTATTATCGCATAGAATTCAACTGCATAAATAAACGCCGGCGATTTACATATTAGTTTCATTTTGTAAATATTCGTTCGGATTCACTACGACATTGAAACTCAAATCTTAGCAGTGGGCTCTGCAGCATCGCCAAAATTCACGTAATATTGTTGTTGAACACAAAAGTAAAGGTTTCTTATCGCTGAGGTTTTGCAGTAAATCGGCGAAAATTAATAAATTAACCACAATGGCTCCTGTGCGGGGGGACGGTATGAGAGGTTTAGCGGTTTTTATATCGGATATAAGAAATTGTAAGTATTTCTCAATATGTGGATAATTCCTAAAGTTATTGTATGATTGAAAGCGTTTAAACTTTCCAACACAATTGAACATTGCTTTCTCTGATAAGTATATATGTACATGTGGTCACGTACATATGTACATATGTACATACATGTGCACACATAGCAATTTATTTTATTTAAATGGTGTTCGTATCGCAGGGGCGTAAAAACACACATCTATAACATAGAATGAAGCGTTGCAGCAATTGCTGGTCAGCGACATTTTTCGCTTTAATTTTCCCTGATTTACAGTAACATTTGCAAGTGTGTTTTCGGTGTCGTAAACGGTCGGAGTGATTTCCCGTAGGAAACTATTGTTCGTGTTCTTTATTGTGTGTTTGTTGGTTCAAATTTTGTGCGAACCTAGTAAGTGGCTGGTACTGCTTGGCGCCAAGTTTTTAAGAATTTATTGGCATATTACGATGCAGAGGACGCATTTTAATTGAGTGATAGCAAACCGACAGATGAATGTTTGTCACATTTATATCCCATATACATACACGTATGCAGTCTTCATGTGAACAGTACATATTTCCTTTCATATACAAAAATTACTTTACTTTAAATCCAATTATTTTATTGAAAGTCATATAACTCGTAAAAAGTCTTACAAAATACTAGCAAATTTTAAATAAAATATTATACACACTTACGCACTCGTAATATAATTAATTGTGAAATTTTTAAATGAATTTATAGTAACTTCAGAGTTTCATTTTGAAGTAAAAGTCTAATTTGCGAAAAAGAGTCATAAATTTTTAATAATATAATATATATATTTTAACAGGTAAAAGTAAAGAGGCCGAAGTGAAGCGCATCAATAAGGAGCTCGCCAATATACGTAGCAAATTCAAAGGCGACAAGACACTCGACGGCTATCAAAAGAAAAAATATGTGTGTAAGCTATTGTTTATTTTTCTATTGGGACATGACATCGACTTTGGCCACATGGAGGCGGTCAATTTACTCTCTTCAAACAAATATTCCGAAAAACAAATTGTATGTATTATGAACTAAGTATAGTTAACAATTAAATATCTTATTATAATATATTTTAAGGGCTACCTATTCATTTCGGTTTTGGTGAACACCAATAGCGATTTAATACGCTTGATTATACAGTCGATCAAAAATGATTTGCAATCCCGTAACCCTGTTCATGTGAACTTGGCACTGCAGTGTATTGCTAATATTGGTAGTCGAGATATGGCTGAATCATTCTCGAATGAGATACCAAAGTTATTGGTATCGGGGTAAGTATCTTCTTCTCTTGTAAATTGTGGTTTCGTCATTATGTTTCTTTATTCACTGCAGTGACACAATGGATGTTGTAAAACAATCGGCGGCGCTCTGTCTTCTTCGTTTATTCCGTTCCAGTCCAGATATAATACCAGGCGGCGAGTGGACTTCGCGCATCATTCATTTGCTCAACGATCAACATATGGGCGTGGTAACAGCGGCCACTTCATTGATAGATGCTCTTGTTAAACGCAATCCAGAGGAGTATAAAGGTTGCGTAAATCTAGCTGTTTCGCGCCTCTCACGAATTGTTACAGCCAGTTATACGGATTTACAAGATTACACATATTATTTTGTGCCAGCGCCATGGTTGTCGGTGAAGTTATTGCGTTTGTTACAAAACTATAATCCAGTTACTGAAGAGCCTGGTGTGCGAGCACGTTTGAATGAAACACTGGAGACTATTTTAAATAAGGCCCAGGAGCCACCGAAGAGTAAAAAAGTTCAACATTCGAATGCCAAGAATGCAGTCTTGTTCGAGGCTATTAACTTAATTATCCATAGTGATAGTGAGCCGAATTTGTTGGTTCGCGCCTGCAATCAATTGGGACAATTTTTGAGTAATCGCGAGACGAATTTGCGTTATTTGGCATTAGAGTCAATGTGCCATTTGGCCACGTCGGAGTTTTCCCATGAAGAAGTAAAGAAACATCAGGAGGTTGTCATTTTATCTATGAAGGTAAGACGACATGAGCTCAGTTGTACAATGTGTCAATGTGTTTTTACGTGAATACCTGTCTATGAAGACTAAACTCCACGGTGCTTTCTATTGCTAGAAGCACATAGATCAATACAATGCGTTGATCAGCGCCCCAAAGCATAAATGCATTTTGGACTTAATTTTTGGTTCCAATTGGTTCGGGGGGATAGGGACACTCTAGTCACTTTGGTCGGGTTCGAGGCCCATCTAAAACCTCTGCCGTACTTTGAGTCCGGCACCCGGCCGCAGTGCGACTCCACATTGGACAAAATGCCCTTCCTGCATTTAGGTTTAAACCACAGCCACCACGAATCTCCACTTCGAATGCTCCCCGTGGTACCAGGTTTAAGTCTTTGGTCTGACTTTGTAGCTTTTGCTACTACCAGTTGAGTCCCCAAAAACTCAATGACGGATTGCATTTGTCGCTGTGACAAATGCCTTATATTTTGTGATATAAATATAAAGCTAAAAATTTGACTTCCAGCAGAATATTATAGCACTTATCTGACTTAGACCATGTTGACATCAAAACATGGTCTCTAAAGCCTGACATAGTGCACATGGCTTTTAGTCGACTCTTACGACAGGTATGTCTTGCCGCGGGTATATACCTGACAGCTCAGTTGTACAACAACCGGAAAATTTTACGTGGGTACCTGCTGACGACA